AGGAGAAAGGGATGAGGAGGAGAGGGAGAAAGGGATGAGGAGGAGAGGGAGAAAGAAGCGGAATGCAGGAGGCTGCGGGGGATGCGGCGCGGCAGGGCGAATGGCTGCTCCACGGTTATAGTTAGATAGATAGAGCTAGCTTGCGAAGTACCAATATCTCACTGTAGTACGCCCAATGCCCGGTGCGAGCATTTGTGTATTGTGTGTTGTATTTTATTGTATTAGTTGTGGTATTGTATTGTGTATATTTGTGTGCTTTTATGTGTATTGTTGCTGAGTAGCCCAATGAATTATTTGTCTCGCTCGCGGCGCTCCGCGTTTTAATGAATGAACGCAACAGTGTATCCTCCTTTGCAGCATCGCTGACATTCGCTATCCTGAAAAAAGCGCTACCCCAGTGCGTCCTCTGATGCGTATACGGATTATATACGGATTATATACCTGATGCGTATCTGCGTATCAATTTTTCTTGCCGGTATATAGAGAGCAAGTCTATCTTCGTTAACCGGCCTACATTGTGTAATGTTAGTAGTGGATTTCGATGATTGGTCGCAGAGAAAGGCAGCAGGAGGGGGTACGTCTAACGTAACTTCTCTTAGCACCCCCGCAAAGCGTTTCTTCGTCAAAACAAATGGGAAACCAAACACTCGAAGATGATATAAACCCACGCCCGCGAGCGTGATTTTGTTCCTAGAATAATCAAGAACATAGGGCTCTAGTGAGGCTGATAGGGTCTATGTCCCCCAGGGTACTGCCGGAACGTACCCTGGGTACGGTTCGCGGGTTCGGTATACCGGAACGTACCCTGGTAACTATCTGATATGCCGGACCGTACCTCGCTTACTCCCTACCGTACCTTGACTGTCCCTGTTCCGCCCACTACGTACTGATGTCGCAAAATTTGAAATATACATACAGACCTGTATGATATCTTTATAAAGTTGGATTGGAGTATGAAACTGTGAAACCAAGAAGAAATTTCAACCTATATACACTGATGCGCGCAATCCTTTTGCAAATATCGCGATGATCGGGAATGCGTTTTCCTTTCGCAATGTTTATGACATTTTCGCGAATTTTCGCGCGAGATTTTTGAAAGATGGCTACAAGTGTTGTAGTGGAACAGGAAAATTTGTATGATTATCTTAATGGGTTGGAAACGTATAGACTCGCTGACACTTGTAGAAAGGGTCGGGAGGTGAAACGTAACAGGGTAAGGGTTACGAATATTTGGCGGGAACGGACCGGAAACAAGGAACGGGAGCATAAAGCGGCGCGTTTCCTGCCGACAAGCGGTATGTATTACGACATCGGCTGAAAGTCAGGGTACAGTTTGGAGTAGTCGATGTACGGTCCGGCATATTAGATAGTTACCAGGGTACGTTCCGGTATACCGGACCGAACCCAGGTTACGTTCCGGCAGTACCCTGGGGGACATAGACCCTATCAGCTCTAGTGAGCGCTGCCATTGGTTGAACTTGTTTCGTCGCTCAATGACGTCACAGTGTCGTCATATTCATAGCACATCCATAATCCATATTTCCAATAATCCTGAATAGCCGAAAGCGTAGAGCACGATCGTCACGGCTGAAAGGTCGTTGGATCGAATCTCATCTGTTTTTTAATTATTTTCCTGTTTTCCCGTCGCCCGCAATGTTAGTACCTCGATAATCGCACTGCATGCTGGGATATTGGCCAGCCCCTAGCCGTAAAAATGTGTAGTTAGTGATAGACTAGCTACTATAAAACGATGCAGCTATAAATAGTAACGATAGACTATAGTATAAAACCCACCTAGTATAATACACTATACTAGCTACACTACACTACACTAGTAACTGTAAATAGTAATTAATAGTGTACTAGTTACGTATAATATTTCTACACTGCTAAATTAACCGTCGTGACACGCTTACTGGCCTTTTTTCATCCCGTCCTATACGTCGTTCAAACAATCGGGATTTTTGTTGCCCGAGTTATGTTTGACTGGCTGTACGTGTCTATCAAAATATGTTTGGATTTGTGAAGTCAAGGGACGCTACGCTACTACCTATGGACAGTGTACGTGTTTGTGGTGCAAATTGAAATAAACATTCGGCGTGAAATTCAAGCGTTCAATGAGAGAAAGTGACATTTAAAAACATTACTATTAAAAATGACTTAGTCCTCGTATGTCAGCTATATACCGCCCGTTATAGCAGAGAGACGTTCACTTGCTATGCTCAGACCATATAGGTACATGAAAGACCATTAAAATGGCATTAGTGTAAAAGTACTATCTTCAAACAAAAGTAGTAGCAGCAGTGGAGTGAAACCAACGTTCCAGTAGACGGACTTTAGCTGTAGCGTGGTTACACAGACGCGCTGCGTTCGAAATAAAATCGAAGCTGCTTTAGTGAATATACTAGGAACGTTTTGGACCGAAAACGGGAGAGTTTCACCACTTTTAGACATATTTTCACGTTGCCTTTCGAAGAGCATTTGATAAAGTTACGGGTCTGTGCGAAATGTTGGTTCTACTCGTCAATAAGACTTCAAGAAATTTTTCACAAAAGCTGGAATATTTGCGCGTTCGAATCGCTCGTTTTTCCTCCGAAAACTCGCGCAGATTTCTATCGACCTCACGCGACATCTCGTTGCGGTATTTCATTTCGATGATTACTCGGTGCACGCCGGGGCACCGTCGCACGTTTCTATTATGCTATTTTCAAATTCAATAGCATCAGGATTAATTTGCGAGCAGCAGCCATCAATTCGAGTGAGCGGGAATACCGAGTAGTTGCGATAGAACGTTTTTCCGATGGGGTAAAAAACACTCGAGCCAATCGACTTTTTTGCCGGATAACAAAGACGTGCGCGTCCTGCATGCTGAATTTTTTTTCCCGAGAAAAGAACGGCAAAATAGTGAGTACACGCGGTATATACAGTCATTTCGCTGTGAACGATGAACGGGAACTCTAGCAGAGATTTCGTGCGTAGTGGACGCAAGGCTCTCGCTGGACTAGAATCGCTTAGCACTCGTGATGGCCAGACTATAGCAATAGCCTGAGAGGGCTACTAAAACCACTGGCAGTTCCAACAAATCAGTAAAAATAAAAATAATGTATAATAAATCGTATTGCACCACTAATAACTCAATCCCCGGGATTATGCATGGGGAGTACGCAGCGTAGTGCAGAGAGTCAGCATTCGCGCCGACGTTAGGCTTTTCTTTTGCAGTGAGGAGTTGTTTAACGCAGATAGGAGAGTTATTAGTGGTGCAATAAGATTTAGTGTACATTATTTTTATTTTTACTGATTTGTTGGAACTGCCAGTGACCATACACCGACGCATTCATTGCTTTCAACGAGGTGGGTAGATTCAGTCCAATCTCCGCTGGTTCTTTCAGACTAACTGACATAATATCAGGAGTAAGATAATATAGGATCTTATATTATCTTAGTCCTGATAATATTATGGTCTGACCGCAGCGAGTGAACCTGCTAATATAATATGGACCGTTATAGCGAGTGAAACTAGTATTTCGTGTATAATAATAATTATTATTATTATTATTATTACCTCCGCCCACGAATTGGAGGAGGTTATGTGATCGCTCTCGTGTAGTGTGTTCGTGTGTTAGTCCGTTCGTGTGTTAGTGTGTTTGCGCGATATTAGCGGGTCAAGTCAGCAGCAGGCCAGGCAGTCAGCAGCAGCCAGCAGCGAGCGGCGAGCCAGCTAGTAACACATACATGTTACATGGGCCGTATGGCGTATGTCGCTGGCGGAGGTATCGACTCCGTGAGTGCCCTCTGTCTAGTTATTATTTATTATTAGTGTTAGTCAATTTATTTGACGAAACTCTCCACTAGGTGTCACTAGTATGTCATATTTTCAGTCTTCAGATTTAACATTAGATACTCTTTACATACCCTTACACACCTATGCCTTTTCATACTACTGTCACATACTGCTGCTCACTTTTGCACAATTACCGCTACTCGATCAGTTTCAGTGCACCGCACACCACGTCCATAGAAATCATTTGCGATAAAGCATAATTTAAGAAGGAACTGACCAAATTTACTCTGCATCAACAACTAATATTTGCACATTGCTTTACTTATATTTGCAAGGCATTTAATTGCCTCTTCTTTCGGTACATGATGAAAAGACATAAAACACATAAGCTCACGTAACGCAGTTATGTTACAATTCACAAAAAGCTAGCTTTTATTGGCTTTATGTAGATTAAATGTCATAGGAGTATATTAGCATGAACAAATATATACTTCAGTTAAGCATATGTTAATGACAGTAGCAAACATAGACATAAAAACCAGTTCACAGACAATATATTGCCTCAAAGACCTTATAGGCAAATACTACATTCTATGCAGTCTCACTATCTGCGTTTGCATCGCCCTTGATCTGTATCTGCTTTCCTTGTATCTGAATTGCTATCTAAAGTTGATATTTGTGGTTGCTGTGGTGTATCACTAATGAAAGCTGGGATCAGTGAGTTGTCATCAGTAAGTATCATAGGATTTAATGTAGATGGGTTTGCTTTCTTCCCGAATGCGTGCTTGTGTCTTCTTTGGTTTGCCGTGAGGTAGCGCCGTCTGCGGTAGGTTTACCTGCACGAAAACTCAGATATAGTCCACGGTAGCAAAATCAAAATATTTGCTCTTCACGAAACGTTTTTTGAACGAATTAGATGTTACTAACGTCTACAACTGTCTATATTATTGGTAATGGAAAGGAGGAAATTGACCTATCACTGAAAAGCATGCAGTTTTCATATTTTACTACTTTATTCTTTGCTGTAGATGAATGCTCTCCAAGTGAATCAATATTCTCAACTGATTATTGGTAACCTGACACATTTGAATCGTGTATCGGGGAGAAATACTCGTTTTTCCGAAAATAGCCGAACGGTAGTAGGGCGCAACTTCGGGATCGCTCGGGTCCATAATACACATGTGTACACACGCATTGTAAACCCTAACCCTAACCCTAATCCTAATCTAACCCTAAACAGAAAAAAAAATGTATATATAACCAAATACCCTGGTATGTAAAATGAGTATTTCTCCCTGGTGCAATAATCGACACATTTTGCATGTGAATTCAGAAAAAATTACAATGTTGAGGGCTGCAAATAAACTATCCCGTTTACAAAGTTAGAATGTATCAGACTAAATGATAAAATGATAAAATCATAAATATGAATATTTCAAAGGAACATAATAGGCTGCACAAATATCTTAACATTTACTCAAGATAATAGTGATCATGACTTACTGGTCGAGGGTAAGGGATTCTGTAGTGGTTTGCTGAAACAGAGAATATCTAAAGTTAGATTTACTCATTATAATACTAACTTATACTAATTATAGATGTCTTAATTGGCACTTTTGCAGCAGCATACAGATATGAAATGGAAACCCCAAATATGAAATAAGACAGCAAAGGAGAACAAAGCAGTCTCCTGGAATGCAACTTCATCTGAAAACAGTTGCTTAGTGGCTATATATAAGAATAGAAATAGAAATAGGATAATAAGTTATTATAATAAAAACACATGCATATGTTACAAACATAGTTTCAATCAACTAGTAATCAATTACCTAGTCCTAACCTGGCCTCTGCTTCTTGGATATAGAGTTTGATCGTTGTCTCATCTCTTATCTGCAAATAAATAATAAATTCTTACAAATATCAACGAGACAAGAAATTTATATCTAAACATATATCACTGCATAACTAGACGAGATGCGGCCATGATGCCGAGGCGCGCCGAGGATTGACACTTTGTGTCTTCCAATCACAGCCTACGCCGCACCAGACTTTGATATTTTTAAATATGGGGACCCATTGGACCACCAAATCGCCGATCTCAAGAACTAGGGCATTCTGCTATGTTAGAACGGTTTCCTACAATAGAATTTGTTACAAATACGAAAACAACACGCTGTTTAGCGCATTGCGCTACGTCCTTCTGTTGCATTTTCACATCTCCGTAATCAGAATAAGCCCTGCCTTCTTCGTTGATGGACATGAATGGGGCGTCACCGACGTGACGAGTTACTGTACCTACTGTCTTTCGCCAGCCTGTTTACTTTTTGTAAATAATGAAATGCCCGGCTGATGCATTTCGCATCGAAGTGGAAAATTTTCGGCATTTTCACTCGCTGTCAGAAGTGAACGAGTGCGTCATTCATTGAACATTGAAGTCTTTCTTAAAATTAAATAATTCCGAAAATCCCTAACCGCGCTACTCGATTGTTTTAGCCAATGAACGTAGCTGTGTGTGTGTGTGTGTGTGTACAGTCGGTCAATCATTGTGAAAAATTGTGTGAATATTTATTTTTATTGAGACGTTCCAAGTGCCTGTGCTTTCAACGGTCTTGTACGTCAATGCACGCGCACCAAGAGCCACAAACTCAACACAATTTCATCTCTGTTATTGTTTACGCCTGAATGCGTAATTGATCAGGGAGGGGGTGCATGTAAGAGGGAGACATTTTCTTTGGGGTTCCGAAAAACACAATTCCACTTGACAATTTCATGGACCATTTCAATTGGAAGCTCTGCATAATGGACCCCCAACAAGCCCTTTGACTGACTAGTCAAGAAATTCAAAGGTGTATATATTGCTATTATTTAGCCGCCGATAGTTCTTATTTACAACAAAGTCTTCATTGTTATCTTCTAAAACTACAGACCATCCGCTGACCGCTGTGGAGACGTGCGCCGGGCCTCGAATTTGGCACACGTCTCCACTGCTGACAGCGCTTCATACTTGAACATCCCCGCGGTCGCGTGCGCATATCCCGCGGAACTGCACGTCTCATCCGCGCGCAGCGCTCAGGATCAACAGCAAAGCTGTGCCACGCAATCTTGTATCATGTCTCTCTGGATCAGACTCCCAGGCTATATAACAGCAGTTGTGACACAGTAACATTGAGTAGAAAATAGCACTATGATACAATTGTGTCAGCATGGGGTAACCCATTACTGGTAATATATCCAATTATAAAATTAACAACAGGCTATTTTTCCCAACAGACAGTAACAAAATGAAAAACAAACCAATGTATTTTTCCTAAACAGCGTTTTGGCTTCATTCAGTATGTAGTCACGTTCATTACTTGTATCTTCTGAAGATCCAGATGCAGATTGCCATGATAAACCAGTTCGCAGAATTCTTTTGTACAAAGATAGGACCTCCGTTCGTAATTGCAGTGCCATTTACTATGTGTAGCCTGAAATTAAAATTACCATGACAAGTTAAATGTGAGATCGAACATAAGGACAGGGTTGCGGAATGTTTGAGATATATCAATACTGTGTTTGCTGTAATTAACCGATCAGTGTAAATAAATATGTTTGAACATTGAAACCTGGCTGTTTATTATCATTATATTCGTGCACGCGTGTGTACGTGTGTGCACTCGCGCACACACGCATGCACGTG